ATTAAGGAATCTTAAAAACTAAGTAATTCAAAAAAACGAAACTAAAAGTAAACTCTTTGGAAAAATTAAAAACAATAATTTAAATTAGGAAGTGTCACAAACTGGACAAAGGAAATCTTCTTTATCGTCTTTGGTTAATCCAATACACTCTTCGTGGTAATATTTATAGCAACCGGAACACAGACGCATCGCAATATGTCGATCTGAATCATATAAAGAACAGTACCATGTCTCGGTAGTTTCTGATGGTGGCGGGGTGGCAGGGTTTTTCTTAGGAGTATTTTTTTTAATCCTTTTCGCTTCCTTTTTCTGATTACCTCTCTTACGTACAGAAACATCATTCTTGGCTTTTTTCTTTTTATTTTCATTCTCAACAGATTTCTTTTCACGTTCTAATTTTCTTTTCAGTTTTAGTTCTTCTTCTTGCCTTTTTTTCCTTCCTTTTTTTTCAAAATATTGCTGCCACTGTAAAGATGTCGTCACAGCAGGGATTTTCTTTCTTTGCTTTCGTGTTTCTTTTTCGGTTTTAGACTCAGGCCAGAAGAGGGATTTTTTAAAAGGTGTGGGTATGCATGAACTATTTTTAATTGTGAAAAATTCATAGCGATTAACGGTGGTTTTGCGTCAGTTTGATTTTGTTCTGGGGTCATCATCGGGGGTATTATTAAGGATTTGACAGGCGTTGAATGTCTGCCAATTGATCCGTATGTTTGTTCTTGTACATCGTCGTCATTTTTTCCATGTTCTCGGAAGGCACATTTGGAATGTTCCGGTATGTTTGATCCCGTTCATTATCATCGTTTTCTTCTATGTTACCGATAGACACATTTGAAATCTTCGAGGTCAAAAGTTCGTTTATTTGATCCCTTTCCTTATCACCAGTGTCTTCTAAATTTTTAATAGGTGAATTTCGGGTGTTCGGGATTAAAGGTAGTGGCGATTCAAGTTGAAGATCATTGGTAAAATCGAAAATTATTGGGAGGCTCAAATTGCCAACATTTATCAGTCCAGTGATGTCAAGATCGTCGATGTTTTCCTTTTGTCCATTCATCGTGTTAATAAGATCTGAACGATCAAGGTTTGAATCATTCTCAATCTCAATAACATTACTTTTCTCATTGAAATTATTTTTTCTATTATCGAATTCAGTTCGCGCTATTATTTTTTTTCCATATCATAAAAAGGCTTGTCTGTTCAATAGCTCCTTCCCATATCTCTCCAGATTGTTTAAACGATACTAAAATTTCTGATGGAATTTCTTCTTCTAATATCTCCAAAACTGAACCTTGACCTTTCTGCTTATCCTCTCTTTCCCGCTGTTGTTCACTAGTGTCTTGCGATCCGCCCGCCTTATCCTTGTCCTTAAAATATTTCGAAAACTTGATATTATCAGCACAAAAAGGAATTAAACCACATGTTTTAAAACCATTTCTAACAACATCTGGAAAATTACTCATTTTGTTTAAAGTTGTTTCTAAAATCATGGCAAACACGTCTTTTGTGATCTTTTTCCCATTGTTTTCCAACCTCCAGCGGTGTATACTTTTTTTCCATTCCATCTTTAAAGGTCGGAATACAGCCACATCCAGAGGCTGCAGAATATGGGTGGCGTTAGGGCAGAGCGATATTAAAATTATATTTGCTTTGGAGCAAAATTGACTAAGCGTTAAAGATAAATGAGAGGTGTGGCCGTCTAAGAACAGGATTACAGGAAGAGGAATATTTTCAGCAATTATCCAAGGATAAAAAATATTGGCGATATATTCGTAGAAAGTCCCGGCCGTCATCCAACCACTGTCAGATTTTCCAATGGCCCAACGTTGAGGAAAATTATCTGTAATAGATTTGGGAATCCGTTTATAATTAAAAACAACCATTGGAGGAAGAATCTTTCCGGATGCACTGCAGGTAATTAACGTTGTAAGACATTCTTTATCATCATTATTAGAAAACGAGTAACTGTTTTCTCCCCTTTTCTCACTAACACTTTGTCACCCTTAGGGCACAAGAAGAATGCGGTTTCATCGCAATTGAAGACACGATTGGAGTTCAAAGTTATGTCGAAATTATTGGAATCTTTCAGATAGGTTTCCACTTCTTTAAACCAATAGCGAATTCTGTTTTCATTTAGGATGGCTCTTGAGCCAGATGATTTTGTGGAATTCTTGTGGTGAGCTCCGGATGTCTTTTTAAGAATAACTCATACCACTTGCGTCCCGGTCGACCATCTGTGAATTTATTCGTCCGACCTAATTCTTTCAGGAGGAGCTGAACGCTATCCAAAACTTGTTTTTTTGTCGCAGGAAACCCACGTTTTGATATATCGAATAGCCACTGAACAAGCAAAGACTCTTCTGGTTCCGTGAGGGTAGTTTCTGGACCGCATTTTTTTCCCAACAACGTTCTGCCCTTGACTTTATCTTGCAGAGTTGCTCTAGGAACGTTATACTTTTTGCTAGCGGTTTTAACAGGCATTCCTGCCTGAACGGCACCAATAGCTTTATTTAAAGCTTCAGAAGAATAATTCAATCGTTTTTTCTTATCCATGCTATTAGTAAGCTGAAATGAAGAAAACCAATTATCAGCACTAGTATGCCCGCATTATCGGCACCCTTATTGAAAGTATATGAAATTTATAATCTTACCGAATTTTGGTGCCGAAAATTGGTATAAAGGAAATTAGGTCTTTTATATAAATAAAAATCACACCGAATTGACAATTCCTTTGTAAGAAATAGAAAAATAGGCCTTATTCGGATAGCGTACATTTCACCAATTAACGGCACCTATGCCGAAAATTAGCGCAAGAGTCTTTTTGGTGTTCCTATTATCGGCACCGGTATAAATCAAAAATTATGAATAATGTGACACTTATTATTACTTTAACACATATATTGAACCCACAAAATATATAGGACAACTTTTAAAGTCAATATCAGCATTTTAAGTATCAAAAATATGATGTTTCACTTTACCTGTTTGTACACACACGAAGCACAAGTTGCCGCCAAAGCAAGACAAAAACTGACAGGTCTAAACTAATTATTTTTCACGTGTTGCAATGTCGGTTGATCGACAGGTTGAGTAGTGGGGGTAGAGTCGGGTTGTACCAGATTGCAAGAGATGTCGCATAATGTATAAATTGGACCAATTTCTTGTTTTTGAATAAAATTCGGGCTCTGTGCCGATAATTAGCGCACTGCCGATAATTGGTACGTTTACCTTATCCGAGATACTGTAACAGTCAAATTTCCTCGCTACGACCTCTGTGTGCTAGCTCATAAAATATTTTTTGCGTCATGTTTACTATAATTTTATTGTTAAATATTATTTTATTTAAATTTTACGATTATGCAACGTGGAAGTCCCCGAATAGTTCCAAGGTATGCTATAATTCTTCTGCCTATTCTAAGGCAATGCAACTGATTTTTATTCGTATTGTTGACTGGTTTTCGACTTTTCCACGCCCACGTGGTGTAGAAAGATTAGTTGAGCATTGCCTTAGGGCTAAAGTGTTAGTGAGAAAAGGGGAGAAAACAGTTTACTCGTTTTCGAATAATGATGATAAAGAGTGTCTTACAACGTTAATTACCTGCAGTGCATCCGGAAAGATTCTTCCTCCAATGGTTGTTTTTAATTATAAACGGATTCCCAAATCTATTACAGATAATTTTCCTCAACGTTGGACCATTGGAAAATCTGACAGTGGTTGGATGACGGCCTTTCTACGAATATATCGCCAATATTTTTTATCCTTGGATAATTGCTGAAAATATTCCTCTTCCTGTAATCCTGTTCTTAGACGGCCACACCTCTCATTTATCTTTAACGCTTAGTCAATTTTGCTCCAAAGCAAATATAATTTTAATATCGCTCTAAGAATTATAGCATACCTTGGAACTATTCGGGGACTTCTTGGGCACGTGCAATCGGAATATCGGTCGGTCGGAAAAATTAGCCTGTTTAATCCTTTACGGAAATTGGTCGGCGGTCCATCCAAATCAACAAAATACAACCACGTCTCTGACCAAATATGTTCCGGAAGACTTAGTCCTTCATTACGAAGACCTGCTAATCACCAACAGGGAATGCTTCACGAAACGGCAGCCAGTTCTTCACGACGACATTCGGACGGTGGATACACAAGAATTGATGCAAGAATTCGATTTCCTTCACAAAATCAGATTTCAACCGGAAATCTCCCTCCAGGATATAGATAGAGAACTATATATCTTGACTAGTCCGACTCACAAAAAGGCATAAATAAAAAACGATATTCTAGAATATTTTCCACTGACATATTTCATATCCGGTCAATGAACGAACTTAACTCAGAAATTCCACAATTAAAATGAACGAATTGCACACTGCGATCCACATCAAAAATAAACAATTTAACTATGAAATTTTATCTGATAATTATAAAATTTCAATAACCAAAACAAAGGATAAATAAATCCAAAAACATCTGATTTGATCTGACAGTGACAAGTGACAAGTGATGACCAAAGATAAAGAAAAGAGAGGTCGACAAAATTTCTAATGCTGGGCCAGTGACAATATTGTGGAGCTGTAGCTGTATAATATCGCGGTGTATATCGGGTTGCATAATTGTAAAATTTAAATACAATAATATTTAACAATAAAATTATAGTAAACATGATGCAAAAATAATAGCTATTTGCGATATTTTATGAGCTAGCACACAGAGGTCGTAGCGAGGAAATTTGACTGTTATAATTCCTATACAGAACATCGTAGGAAACTCACCCTGTATAACTAAAAATAATTAAATTTACTAGTTTAATATACCGACGTTGGAACTAAGATAGTTGGTTTAATTACTGTAGTCCGAACAATTCAACATCTGCAAATGCATTCCTAGAAGTATACATAGACTAGAATTCCTAAAAAACAAAAGGCAATTCGATTTAATCGATGTGTTATTCACCTAATATTAGTGTTGTAATTGATTTTTAATTAAGAAAAATGATAAGATTAGTACAGATACTTATACCTATTCATTATAAATATTAACTCTACTCCAGTAATTCATTAAAACAATGAATTTAAAATAAGATACTTATAAATCTAGTCCCAAAGATAATGGACAACAAAATTTATATAATTTTTGCTGTTATAGCTTTTGTGCAAAAAGTTAATTCAGGTAAGTACATCTAGTATACTCAAATTATTACACATTATACGATGTCAAATTTAAAAAATATATATACGAAGCAGAACAATCAATAAAAATTTCAGTTTGAAAAACTTAAGTGCTTCTTAAAAAGTGAAGAAAGTAAGAACCAACGTAAAAATTATCAAAATCTCTTGATTCTAACATAATATTAACAGCCCATTTTTTTTAAATCATCTGAAGCACTACTTAGTTTAATAATTGATCATTTAAATACCACATAATTAGATCCCCCAAATAACACTTTTTTTATTTTATTTTTGTAATATGCTTGTATACGTATGCTTGTTGTTTACTTAATTTTTCAAAAAAAATCCTTTATGGGTATTTCGCCACTGCACTGCAAGAAAATCTACAAAATAAAATAATTATTTTTTGTAAACACTTACTAAAAACAACAAGAAACCGTTGACAGAATTTTTTTCCAAACCAAACACAACGTCAACGGTTTCTTATAGACGTATCTGTTTTAAAAAAGTAAAGTGTTCTCGAATAGTTGAATTTAAATATTTTAAATAGTTTTTTTCTTTATTCTTTGTATTTTTTTGCTTCCGACGACGGAAAGAGATAACTTTCCGAAACGTTAAGCATTTTTTTTTCTTTGTTAGGTAAATTTGTATTACTGTAAACATAACTTCTGACAAGCAGCGTCCGTTTAGGTTTAACGCAGAAGTGTTTACAAAAAATAATTATTTTATTTTGTAGATTTTCTTGCAGTGCAGTGGCGAAATACCCATACAGGATTTTTTTGGAAAGATGAATCCGCCACATAGGTATAAACATTTTTTGTTTGCTTAATATTACATTAGACCCATTTTTACTTAATTTAGTAACACAAAACTAAAAAAAATAATTTCTGCAAATCTAAAAATCAAATCATGATACTACAACTTCTCCACTGCTAATCTACTGAATCTGCACATTATTTCTCACTGTATATGCATCTCTCAAAATCTTGTAAACTATGTTGCTTTGTATTTTATAAAAGGTTTAAGAAATAATAATTTTGAAATATAAACCGAGTGTTTTTCAAAAGTGGCTCACGCATATAACTTTTTTATTTTGTCAGATCAAAACGAGATTTAGTATGTTAGTATGACAAATTAGGGGGATTTATTGACTTTTTTTCGGTCACTTCCTGTTTCACCGGAAACGATTACAGTTTTTAATTTTCATACGGCACCCTCTGTATGTTTTTACTTTATTTCATAGTAAAGGACATATGTCAACTTTTCACATTGGCGCTTAAAAAATCGTATTTTAAATTTCAATCTAGAGTGGCTGTGTTTAAAGTGGCTATTACTTAAAAAATAGACTTCATCGTCTAATGATTTTCGTGACTTGTTCTGGCCGGTTAAAAAATGGGCAAAGAGTATTTTTAATAATATATTTTTTTAATGGAACGGGGCCCGCTCATTAGCATATTTGGAAAAAATATTATTTTACAAATAATTTGGTACCACATCCTAGGTATTTCGAGTAACATTGTCGTTATTAACCGCACATTGGATTTGTAATTTGAATGGCGTTTGTAAAAAGTAGGCGGTTCATAACAATTTGATGTTAATTAATGATGGTAATTGATGGTAATTGATTTAATTGTAATGATGGTAATTGATTTAATTATTCGTAAAAAATGCTTCTTCCAAATATGCTAATGAGCCATCCTGGTTCCATTTGAAAAAATTGAGATATGAGTAAAAATACGATTTGGGCATCTTTTAACCGGCCAGTACAAGACACGAAAAACACTAGACGATAAAAAAATATTTCCAAGGCTCCTTAATTAAATATTAGTGTTTTTTACACAGCCATTTTAACAATCTAGACTGAACTTTAAAATACGATTTTTTTAAGCGATAATGTTGAAAGTTGGCATATGATATGTCATTCAATTCAGAGTATCATTTTCAATAGAATAAAGTACAAAAAATACAGACGGTGCCACATAAAAATAAAAAATTGTTCGCAGCGAAGTGAGTAAATTCAAGTTAGCATTATCGCAACAAATACACATTTTCGGTTGGCATCAAACATTATTCTTGTACCTTGTACCCCTCGAATTCATGGCGAATTTTAAATAAACGCAAATATTTCTATGGATGATATAATATGTGGATCCCTAAATTTGCTTCGAAAATATTTAAATTTTCAGTTAAAAAATATAATAGCAAAATAAAACACTAATTCACCATAATACACCAAAATATTTTACTAGTTTTAATCATCTACCGATAATTCTAATATGGTGAGCGAAAGATAGTTAGCTACGATAGTTAGCGAAACGCGCGTCCAGTGCAAAAAGTAGTGTTTTGGTATATTGTGGTGAATTAGTGTTTTATTTTGCTGTTGTAAGACCAAAGGTTCCAACTCCAACTGTAGAACCACTATATTGGATTTGACAATTCGTGGGAATTTTTAGAAAACACGGGAAATTTCGAGTCTTTGTAGGAAATTTTATTTCAGAAAGTTGACAACACTTCTGCTAGGTCTGATTCGGGCCAGCCGCAAATCGCCATTTTATTATAAATTAATAGAAAAACTAGCCAAAAATATTTGATTTCGAAGATTTCAAAATATAACTTTATTTTTACTAGCACGCCTGAAAAATTTTCACTGTTTTTATTTTATTAATAATTAAAGTTTTTCGTGATATTTATTTTATAATTGATTTCTTTTAACCTAACGAAATGGGGACCGAAGTTTTATATTAAACAGTACGGTTAGATAACGTGAGATAATGTAAGATAAGCAAAATTAAATAACGTTTGCTTCATTGATGTAATGTAATTTGATTATAAAATTGACCTTTACTCATAAAGATCATAAAAAGTTACGCTATATTTTTATTAATAAAAATAACTTATATGGCCACCATAAAGATACTACAATATTAATTATGTTCGTAAACTAATAAAAGAATCACTTCCGATGTTTTTCATTGTTTATAGACTAGCTGGAGATTATCCTATCCAAATAACTGGTTATTTTATTTATTTATTTAATATAGCAAAACATAGCAAAAAACATATCAAAAAATACAACAAAAAATACAATTTAAATAGATAATACAGAAATAATAAATAATACAGAAATAATAGATTACATAGAATAATACAGAAATAAAATAATAAAGGCCAAGCACAATCTATACAATCTATACAATACACGACTTTTAAATATACTTAAGAAGTTACAAGTATTAACCAAGTCGTACCTATTCACACTTCTGGAAATTCTATTTGCAGGGCAATTCTGTGCATAATAAGTTGAATTTGTCTTTAAATGTAGCAATGATTGTAACCTCAAATGTGTTCAAACAACGAAAATCGAGGTTTGCCAAATAATTTGGTGATTATTATACGATATGATATTAGTAAGTAAAAATGATATTAGTAGTAAAAAAACATACAGCCAGATAATCCCATCTAAGTTCCAACTTTTGGAAGTTCAGATACTCTGTAGTCTCAATCATATTCAACAGAATGGATTTACAAAGGAAGAAATTCATACATATATTTTAAAAATATTTTCTCAATTTGGAAAAATCCTCGGAAAACCCTATTTTTATACGTTTCATATGTGGCATCCAGATTATGGAAGAGTACTCTAATGATGTTCTTACTGCCTGGCTATTATATAATACCTTACATATTATACTATACCTTCCATAGGCTATTATACAGATTGTTAACTGGACGGTTACTTATTGGGGAATAGAATGGCAACACTGCCTACATTCCAAATGAGTACTAAGTTAAGCTGCCGACTCGTCCCGTCGCGTCCGTCGTCTCACGACGAGCGGGTCGAGGTTGCCAGATTTCAACCATAAAGCTCTTGCCGCGAGTAATAAACAAAATAACAAACTGTATAATGTTGTTATTGAGGGAAAACCCAAATTCCTGTTTGCCTTTTATATTATATTGTCATAGTGGTTGTTAAAATTTTATTTGTAATCGAGCCATATTCTAAGATCCTTAATAGTGTACAGGGTGGTCGAAATTGGTCTGTTTTAACAGAGAAAACCTATTTCCTGACTAAATAGAACAAAACCGATATAGATGTCATGGGCTCGATATCTGAGACACGTTTAATGTTGAAGCTGTTGATATTTTCAGTGCCAACTGAGATACATACATTTTTGAATTTTTTACCATTTTGAAAATTGCTCATAACTTTTTTATTTTGCCGAATAATAAAATACTCTAAAAACATTCTTTAGGCACTTTTTTAAGCACAATCCAGTGGCGTAGTAAGTTTTTTGCTATGCTTGCTCTTTTTGTCACAAATAATAAAAAATATATTTCTTTAAATGGAAATCATAGTTGGCTATGAACTTAAAAAAATGCTGGCGTTTAACCATTTTCAACGATATAAAGTTAGGGGTATCTATTTCTAAGAATGAGAGAAATATTAGGTTTTTTATCTTTATATCGAAGCGGCCCTGATTTTGTGTTGACCTATGTGCCTAATTATTTTTTATCATAATTTAATATTATTTAATATTTATCTGCACTATCTCTAACTAAAGACTTTTGGAACGGTGAATTAACATTCTATATTAGTATTAGTAATTACAATTGAAATCGATACAAAGAACAAAACTAAAAAAACGAATTTTTTGTATGACGAATATAGTTTTCTAAAAAAAAATCAAAGATGTTGAGAACCTCAAAAATGAAAAATGAAAATCAAAGACGTTGATGAAGAGAACCTCCTTGTTGAATACACAAACATCTTTTGCGCACAGTTACAACGATTTATTAAGCGAACTAGTGTAATAAGTCCAAAAGTTTACCTAGTAATTTTCTGCAATTCTTCTCTCATCCCAATGGTTCTTCCCTTATAGATAAGGTATTTTAATTTCCCCCATAAAAAAGTTGAAAAGAGTTAAATTACAGGACCTAGCAGGCCCAAAAATATGGGGGTCAAGATATGGGGCCCTTTGTTCCAATCCAATTCTCTCTAAATTCTCAATTTAATAATGCAGTTGTAAACCTGGCGTTTTAATTGTAAATGGTAATACTAATATAGAATGTTGATTTACCTTTTCAAAAGTCTTTAATTATGCAGATAAATAATAATATAGAATATTAAATTGTGATAAAAAATAATTAGGTAACTATAGGTCAATACAAAATCAAGGCCCGCTTCGACACAAAGATAAAAAATGTAATATTTCTCTCATTTTTAGAAATAAATACACATAACTTTATATCGTTGGAAAGGGTTAAACGCCAGCATTTTTTAAAGTTCATAGCCAACTATGATTTCCATTTAAAAAATTATATTTTTTATTATTTCTGACAAAAAAAACAAGCATAGTGCTTAAAAAAGTGCCTTAAGAACGTTTTTACAGAATTTTATTATTCCGCGATAAATAAAATTTATGGGCAATTTTCCAAATAGTAAAAAATTAAAAAAGACCCCGTATCTCAGTCAACAGTGAAAATATCAACAGGCGGTTTGCGCCATTAGACGTGTCTCAGAAATCGAGCCCATGACATCTATGTCGGTTTTGCTCTATCTAATCAGGAAATAGGTTTTCTCTGTTAAAACAGACCAATTTCGACCACCCTGTACAGTAGAGTGCACCAAAAAAAAATAATATATTTTTTCTTCTTAGTTACCGTCCAAATATCATTCAGGGCGATGAAAAAAAAAGTCTGGTAAAGTTTCAGCTCTTCCCATTTATTTTCTTGTAACTAAAAACAAAAAAATATTTTTTTTTTGGTGCACCCTAGTGTACACCCTGATAAGTTGATATTAATATTCGGATACGTTACGTGAAATTTACTTTCATCCCTAGTAAAAATAATAGACGAACAATAATTAATGTTCAGCTGTCAAACCATGCTGATTAGTTACAGTAATATTTTTCAAACAATTAGTTAGTGTTGGAATTAAAAAATTTTCAAGTAATTTTGGAATGGCAGACTGAATGCATATTAAACGATAGTTACTGATATATGATTTGTTGCCTGATTTAGAAATTGGAGTAACAAAGAAATGTTTCCAGTGAACTGGAAATGCCCCAGTAGACATACAGCGATTAAAAATAAAACATAGAAGTTCTCAAATTCTTACTGCACATTATCTTAAAAACAGATTGGAAGGACCATCAGGTCCAGGTCCTTGTAAAACTTAACATAGTACTGAGCAGATCATATTTAATTTAAATATTAGATAGGTTGACATCGATTTCGGAGGTAAATAACATAGAATTTTAACTTCTCTTATTAGTCCAGTAAATGAAGGTTAAAATCACGACTTAATTCGTCGACCGAGACTTTTCAACCGGATTGTGTACCTTTTGGGGAGTAGTTTTAGGGGAAAATTGCAACACCGTGCTCAGCCAGTTTTGGCCTACAAATCGGTTTTTCGCAAATATCTGTCAAAATATGCAATTTACAAAATTTTTCTTGGAATAAAAAAATAAGCTTAAAATAAACGTAAACAGCATGTAGTTATCCGTGTCAACCTAGCTTTAACTTGTATTTAAAAAAATACCAGTTTAACTTTGAAAAACAATTCAAATGGTCAAATTGGAGTTGCATAAGGAAAACTATAGTCGGTCCAACAAGCTTAGTAGACACCCAAAAAATGATACATAATTTTTTATAATTTGCCTGTGAGTAAAAATGACAAAAAACACAGTCATGTATTCTCTAGTTGGTCCTTAGCATTTAAGTAAAACAAAAATCCTTACCCTGCTGAAAATGCGGTGAATCTTAAAACCAATCACATAAATTAAAATTGTATTGTATTGTTTTGCCAGTTAAACTTACATTAGCCGATATTTTTTCCGATGAAAATCCACTTTTATCAATTTTAAGCAACAAATAATTGACTATGTCAACTATGTTAATAATTTAAATTTTCACAAATAATAAATTTAATTAAGCATTACTTCTATATTGAAGTCATCTTATAATAGACCAAAAAATGTATTTATTAAATGGGAGGGAAAGAGGAAGCAATTAATATATTTTATATTTTTTAGGTCTGCTGGACTGTCGGATTTCACCTTACGGAAACTTGTCACCAATAGTGGTACTGCACAATCAGAATGAGTTTCTCTATCCAGAGTTCCACGATCTTGATCTGAGGTTTCCCCCAGGAACTTCTGTGGATTTCTTATGCCCCGGTGGAGAAATTATTATCGGCTCGAACACTTACACAGATATCAGCATGGCTACTTGTATAGTGGGGAGTTTATTCGAAATACACAGTCAACATGTCGATTTCAATGACATCACTTGCAGCAGAATACCAGATAAAAACGCCCGTTACACAGGACTGGATTGTGAAAACAACGGAAAAGAGATAGAAATAGGCTTCGAAACATCAAATAATTTTTTGAGAACTGTTTTAGTTTGTTTCGACCAGTCCACACAGCTGGCGCTCCATACTCGTGTCAACATTACCAGAGCTATCAACAAGCGCGTAACTAGTACTCCCAGGCCCAGTTTCATACAAGGGAGATCCTTGTATTCCATTACATCGGTGAATAGCTATTATACTCGAGTAAATCAACGTACAACCATCAATAACCAACTAGGCTTACCAGCAGAGTCTACGCAATATATTAATACCAATACATATTATTTGGCCAGAGGTCATATGACTGCCAGATCAGACAATTTCTATCCATCTGAACAAAATTCAACCTTCTTTTTTGTTAACGCTGCTCCCCAATGGCAAATATTCAATGCAGGGAATTGGTACAAAGTTGAGATTAGCGTGCGTGATTACGCCGAGGCAAATGATGTAGACCTCATTCAGTGGACGGGAGTATATGGTGTACTAACACTGCCAGACTCTAGAGGTCATCCTACGGAATTATACATCTATGATGTGAACGGAGTAAAAAATCTACCAGTTCCAGAAATTTTCTGGAAAGTAGTGTATGATCCAATATCTCTCAGAGGTATAGCAATTATTGGACTAAATAATCCTTACGCAAAAAGTTATACAGTATTTTGTGATGATGTGTCTGATCAAATAGATTGGATACACGTAGCCTGGGATTCTGTCCCTGAGGGTCTTATATATGCTTGCGAGATTGAAGATTTTAAGAAAACTGTCAGTTATGTACCAAGTTTTCCCGTTTCTGGTCTCTTAGTCTAATATACCTATATAACTCATATTGTACAATATGGTATTTTGACATTGCATTAACTAATAGTGTATAATAGAGTGTAATGTGACAACTATTACATACTTTTAAATTCATTTTTAAAATAATGGTCGTTAAAAAAATAGGTATAAAATAAATAGCGACACAATATTTTTTTTCAAATTCCCATACCCTCTGTCTGTAATAAAAAACCTGTAAAATATAATTTGTCAAGATAATATTGTATGTAAATTTTGGTATGTTTAATACGCTCAGCATTATACAGAGCTAAGAAGGCACTATAAATACCAAATTTCCAATATTTGCCCCTAAGCAATAACATATTTTAATTAAAAACATATATAATTTTCTATTGTAACTAAATTAATTAATGGTCTAATTAATGAATATGTAATTAAAATTTTAATATTCAAATAAATAGGTACTAATAAGTGAGAATGATTTACCCATTTATTTTATAAGTCTATTTGTGAGGATTTTAATAAAGGAGGTACTGCATTCAATTATAAAGAGCACTGAAATTTTAATTCGAATTAACAATTTTTTTTATTATTATGAAGCGTAGGTATAAAGTGACCTACAATGCCTACAACAAAATATTCTTCCATCTTTTCGTTGTAAACTTTTATTATCTATGTATCTAGAAAACCATATCTATAAAAGATTACTGTTATCAAAATATTTACAAAAATGATATATAAATATATACTTTTGCGATAGCTATTGGTAGCAGTTTTTCAGTAGGTAGTAGTTTCCCAAAAACTACTTTTAAATCTGCCTTTGAAACCATTCATATTATTCTATATTATATCATAGTTTAATAAACTTCAAAGTATAAAACAAATAGTAACATTAAACTCTCTCAAATACTGATATTTTATCGACGATAGTGTAAAATATATATGTTTAAAATATAATATTCTATGTAATATATGGCATATTTAATTTAGTCAGCTAAATAGGTACTATAAAGAAATTTATAATATAGAAAGCTAAATAGGTACTATAAGTTAGGTTTCAAACGTTTGCTACAATAATAATATACTTTAATCAAAAAAGATAGACAATGTTCCATTACAGCGAATAACTAATTAATTGTCTAATTAATATCGTTTTAGTGCTTTTTTTTGTTTTTTGTGCTTTTTTTGTTTTGCTTTGTTGTAAGCTGTTTTGGCTTTTTGTACAATAAAGCGTTGTTTTTTTTTATAGTGTCGTTGTGTAATGATAAGTTGAAATTCTTTGCCCTATAACTAAAATATACAAGGACCTAACACCAGGAACGAAATTGTTCCCAGTTGACACTAAAGCTATTTGGTCGATACCATGCCAGGGGGTTAATATAAATAATACAGAAATCAATAAAAATTATAGGGGGCCATTATAGGCCTCTACCATACAAAAGGTGGTGTAGTAATAATTTTTTAATATGTTGTTAAGGTTTAGGTCTTGATGAAAAATCCAAGTTTTCGACCTTGGGGTGCGACCGCTCGAGCCGCCATCTTGAATTAAAGATACAAAAAACTGTATTTTTCAAAATATATCCGCAGCGGTTAATCTTACGATCAAAATTTATATTTTTACACAACTTCCCGAAAGTGTGGAATTCGGAGATAACCAAATCAATATTTGGGATGGAGGATACCTTTTGCACAAAGTTGTATTGCACTGTAATGATTCAGTTGCGCACATTTCCGAAAAGTACGTTCAATATGTACGAAATCACTACGTTTCACATGCAGTCGTTGTTTTTGATGGATATCCGAGTGATGGAGCCAAAAGGAATACCAAGGACGCAGAAAGACTTCGCCGATCGAAGAAGCATAGAACATCTGCGGATGATCTCTACGATGAAACAATGCCCGTTCAAGTTTCCCAGGAATTATTTTTAGCCAACGAAAACAATAAAGGCCGTTTAATTTCGATGCTCACCAAAAAAATGGAGCGGGCTGCTATTACTGTCAACCAGGCGGAAGAAGATGCTGATGTGTTGATTGCCAGAACAGCGATTTCCTTGTGCCCAAAATTTGATGCTGTTTTCGTATTTTGCGAAGACGTTGACCTTCTCGTTTTGCTGACAGCATTGGCACCGTCTCAGGGTAACATCTATCTTCGCAAACCAGGAAAAAGCAAAATTGCTAAATATATTCAGCTAATAGCTTAAAACATGAAAAAATAGCTGAGAACATTCTGTTTCTCCATGCTTTTAGTGGCTGTGACACGACATCGTCAATCTTCAACCAAGGAAATATGAAGTTTTGATCGCTTCTCCAGAAAACAGCAGGACTCAGTGACATCATTGGTATTTTTAAACATCAAGATGCAACACCAGAGGACATCGTAGATGCTGGAGCACGCTTTCTCGTTGCTTTGTATGGTGGCAACTTGGAAGAAGACAACTTAGAAGAAATCCACTACCAACGTTTTGCTAGATCAACCACAAAAAGTAAATCCAATCTTGCTTCGTTGCCACCAACGAAGGATGCTGCGCTGTATCATTCTTTCAGGACATATCATCAAGTCCAGAAATAGTATGGAATCGAGAAAAAAACCTGAAGACTGGGGCTGGAAACTGGGCAGCAATGGACTTGTTCCACTATCACCATGACAGAACAAGCAGCACTCGACAACTTATTGAAATTCATTTCATGCACTTGTAGAAAAGGATGCGGCGCAGCATGAGGTTGCAGGAAAGTTGGGTTGAAGTGTTCCGTTGTATGTGGCTTCTGCAGTGGTCAGTCATGCGAAAATGTCCTGGAGGTTCACATCGACATTGAGGACGAAGATGACCAAGACTTAACAATGGAAGAGCAATATATTCCCAAAAGCACCGATTATGATGATACCGTAGACAATACTCAAAACGTTATTAATAACCGACCCGGACCATCAAACAAAAGAAAACGCTAATAAATCGCCATGACACTACCTTATTTTTCAGTTTTTTTTATGCGTTATATTTCAATGAGACATATGAAGGTTATAACATATTTTTTTCGCTCCGTGGCACCGTGGCACTACCTCACCAGCCGCTGCTGTTTATACCTATGTAAAAAATAGCGAGAATTTCGGAAAAATTACAAAATTGAAAAACTGAAATTTTAAAAAACATGATTTTTTTATATCTTAACCCGTCAACGACTGGCGTTACCATATGGTAACGTTAAACATAGGGTCCATCTTTAACCACTGCATTAGAAGTTTCGTAATTTTTGACGAGATGTCGCAAAGTATGCGCTTAAGAAATGACATGTAATGATTATTTTAGTATCGTTTTGGTTTTGTTAGTGAACAGATACGTGTAAGGCATGCGTGTAAGGCGACAATTTACTGTGACGATATCGCAACGGTTTGAAAACTGGTGGACATCAATTTTGAGTAAGTATTTATTCCTTGTTTTTAGACATGTAGTAAGTGTTTGCTATGCTATTTTATTTTATAAATATGTATATTTGTATATGTTATATTGTGTTTTGCTACATGTCTTGGAATTTTTTGTGTATCTGAATATTCCTAGTACCAGTGTTTCAGCTTCGGTTCTATCGGACACTCCAAGGTCTAAAAGAAGCTTCAGCTGGATTAGGAGTGATCTTCAAGCGCAGACAAGAGATTTTCCAGAACCTAATTATAAACAATATATGGATCTTTCACCTGTTCAACTTTTTGAGCTATTTTTGGACGACGAAATAATTACTTATCTAATCGAGGAGACGTTTCGCTATGCTGTTTAAAAACTCACCCGATCCTAAGGCTTCCAAAAATGAAATGAAATGTTTTTGTAAGTGGCTATGTAGTATTGCCAGGGAAAAAATCATATTGGGAGTCACAAGGTGATGTGAACAATGCGATGATGAGTGGTGCCATGAGACGGGGCCGTTTTGTTCAAATCATGCGTTTTCTTCATTGCGCCAATAACTCCAAACCAAATTTGGACGACAAAGCGTGGAAACTTAGACCCTTTAGAGAGAAACTGAAAGCTAAATATTTGCAACATTATCAGCCAGAAAAGCATATGAGTTATGATGAAAGTATGATAAAGTACTATGGTGGACATCCATGTAAGCAGTTCATTCGTGGTAAACCCATTAGATTTGGGTACAAAATGTGGGCACTGAATACAACATCGGGATATTTAGTAAACTGCGAATTGTATCAGGGAAAAAATAGTTTACAAGAAGTATACGAAAAGGATTTTGGAAAAGCTGCTGCACCATTTGTTTCAATGTTGGACCAGTTAAAAGGGAAAAAAGAGAGACCATATGAACTGTACTTTGATAACCTCTTTACTGGTTTAAATCTTTTAGAACACCTAAAAGAAAGGGGCTATCAGGGTACCGGTACCGTTCGAGAAAACCGCATACCCAAAAATTGTCCGATGTCAGACAAAAAATCTCTCGCAAAAAAAGAAAGAGGGACATACGAGGGGACTATTGAAAAAGAATCAGGTATTATGGTAGTTCGTTGGGTTGACAACAACGTTGTTAGTGTCGCTTCAACCTGTCACGGTATTTTACCTGTATCACAAGTAAAACGATATAGTTCTGCCCAAAAAAGAATTCTTATGATACCTCGCCCATTTTTAATTGGTGAATATAACGCACACATGCAAGGTACAGATCTCATGGACGAAAATGTGTCAATTTACCTGGTTTGTTGACGTAACTATAACTAACGCCTGGCAGATTCACAAAAAGTCTGGTGGACCGCTGATGCAACTTGAATTTCGAAGGGAAATTACAGCGTGCTATTTACAGAGTTATGGAACCCTTCCGAAGCCTGGTGGTCGACCCAAAACTTCAAAAACCAGTCTGTCGCTCAATAGAATTTCAAACGAGGTTAGATATGATGGAATGAACCATTTAGTGGTTGAACCCCAAACAAGAAAAGAAAGAGATGCGCAGGTGAAGGCTGTTGTTCAAGCATTCGTACTATGTGCAACAAATGCAACTTGGGCCTTTGTATCCCATGCTTTTCTATATTTCATACCAAGTAAATGTTTTCTTTCAATATTTTCAAGCATTTTAGTTAAAATATCAATATTTTTGTTAAAATTGTATGTTTTCATTTAAAACTTTAATATTTTTGTATAAGTTTCTATTTTGAATAAAATGTACATTTAAAGGAGTGGCGTTACCATATGGTAACAGTAGTTTTTTTCAAAATGGCGTAAGTTTTTTGTTTTTTTTTGCATAGAACAGTCTTAATTATGATCATATTAACGTAAATTACATTTTAAAAATTGCAAAAAATTAAAAATAAAAACTTCGCCTTTGACGGGTTAAAACAACACGGTGCACTTACAACAAAAGGAAAACCATCCTAAACACCTTGACTAAATTGCTACTCGTGCACGGCGCGGGGGACTATAAAATTTAACATAATTTACCCTTAAAACAATTAGAATTTATCATACTATTTAAAACCCTGTTTATTAAAATGTAAAACAAAATGTTTTAAATCTTACTGCATTTTCAAATAACGGATAATTTAAAGTCTAATAAAATATAATATAATTTACTTTAAACAATAATAAAATTGATAATAGTAGTTAAAACCTCTTTTATTAAAACATAAAATAAATTGTTTTTCTGTTTAAATTATTCTTTAATAATTTCTAAAGAAATGTTTTTTCAAAATTTATTGTAATTTTCTTTAAAAATAACGAGTTTTTTAATAACAAGTTATAGTTAACGCTATTATAAAATGTTTTATATTTTACAGTAATTGATTATATCTGGCTATTATAATATTATCTTAAGTGGCATTATACTGCTAATTCCGAGGCCTATGCATCAGCAGCACATCTTCTTTAACACATGTCTTATCCATACCTGGATTGCCTACCCCTACCCCTCCTCAACGAACAATCACTTTAAAGAACAGTGTATATTAGTATTTTATTTCTGCTCATTTTTACAATGTGTTCAAGAGTCACGAAATCAAATAAAAACCCTAAATCAAAGTAGCTGAATGGGTGGCAAAATACGTTATCGCCAAATTTCTCCCATTACAAGATATTAATGATATTTCAATAGAAGCTATACCAGCTTACTGGCTGAGAGAATCCGCAACATCTTTTATTATTCCACTAGATAACAAAATTATCCATTTTTATATCTTTGCAATATACCTGCAAATGAAAGTAATCACTAAGTTGGAAAAGCAAAGATCGAAAATAGTTTACTAGATACAATAAAGTAGATTAAGTAGCACCTAAAGTTCGTTTTGGAAACAATTTGTGAAGTTACGTAGAAAGGCTTTTCAAACAATACATCTTTTTGCTGAAGACTGTCGACACTTTGTAGAAAACTATGAAGGTAGGAGGAGGCTAACTCCGAGCCCTATGCATCAGCGGCACATCTTCTTTTACACGTTTCTTATCCATACATCGATTGCCTACTCCTACCCCTCCCCAAAGAACAATCACTTTAAAGAACAGTGTATATTAGCGTTTTATTTCTGCTCATTTGTAGAAAGTGTTCAAGTGTCACGAAATCAAATTAAAAAGCTAAATCAAATTAGTTGAATGGGTGGCAAAATACGTTATCGCAAAAGAACAAAGTAGATTAAGTAGAACCTAAAGTTCGTTTTGGAAACAATTTGTGAAGTTACGTAGAAATGTTTTTCAAACAATACATCTTTTTGCTGCCCACTGTTGACACTTTGTAGAAAACTATGAAGGCAGGAGGAGGCTAACTCCGAGGCCTATGCATCAGCGGCACATCTTTTACACATTTCTTATTCATACCTCGATTGCCTACTCCTACCCCTCCCCAACGAACAATCACCTTAAAGAACAGTGTATATTAGCATTTTATTTCTGCTCATTTTTACAATGTGTTCAAGAGTCACGAAATGAAATAAAAACCCTAAATCAAAGTAGCTGAATGGGTGGCAAAATACGTTATCGCCAAATTTCTCCCCATTACAAGATATTAATGATATTTCAATAGAAGCTATACCAGCTTACTGGCTGGGAGAATCCGCAACATCTTTTATTATTCCAGTAGATAACAAAATTATCCATTCTTATATCTTTGCAATATACCTGCAAATGTATAATCACTAAGTTGGAAAAGCAAAAATCGACAATACTTTACTAGATACAACAAAGTAGATTAAGCAGCACCTAAAGTTCGTTTTGGAAACAATTTGTGAAGTTACGTAGAAAGGCTTTTCAAACAATACATCTTTTTGCTGCCGACTGTCGACACTTTGTAGAAAACTATGAAGGCAGGAGGAGGCTAACTCCGAGGCCTATACATCAGCGGCACATCTTCTTTTACATATTTCTTATCCATACCTCGATTGCCTACTCCTACCCCTCCCCAAAGAACAATCACTTTAAAGAACAGTGTATATTAGCATTTTATTTCTGCTCATTTGTAGAAAGTCTTCCAGTGTCACGAATTCAAATAAAAAACCTAAATCAAATTAATTGAATGGGTGGCAAAATACGTTATCGCAAAATTTCTCCCATTACAAGATATTAATGATATTTTAATAGAAGCTATACCAGCTTACGGGCTGGGAGAATCCACAACATATTTTATTATTCCAGTAGATAACAAAATTATCCATTCTTATATCTTTGCAATATACCTGCAAATGAAAGTAATCACTAAGTTGGAAAAGTAAAAATCGAAAAAGCAAAAATCGCATCAGCGGCACATCTTTAACACATTTCTTATCCATACCTGAATAGCCTACCCCGACCCCTCTCCAAAGAAAAATAATCCTAAAGCACGGGGTGCGCATTAGAATTGTATTTCTGCTCATTTGCAAAACGTGTTCAAGAGTCACGAAATCAAATAAAAAAAAATGAATCAAATTAGTTGAATGGGTGGCAAAATACGTTATCGCCAAATTTCTCTATTCTATCACCAAAGTTATGACTGATATTAAAATAAAAGCTATACAAGCTTACTGGCTGGGAGAATTCGCAACATCTTTTATTATTCCCGTAGATAACAAAATTATCGATTACGATCTTTGCTCTATTCCTGCAAATAAAGTAGTCATACCTCAATTTGGAAAATTCAAAAACATTTTGAACACCATCAAAGCACACGTCATACACAGCCTTGGCAGAAATAGCATCACATCTTAGTAACACAAAAAAAAATTGTGTTAAAACAATGCCGAAAACCATTGGGTAAGTACGAGTATTCTTATAGTATGCGCACTGTTGTCAACTTGGCGGTTTTCCCGCTAGATCTAGCGGATTTTTTTGGTTTAGCGGGAAAAAAATAATTTAGCGGCTAGCGGTTTTTTAGCGGTTTAGATTTTTGAATAATAAATCTTTAAAATTGACACAAAAATTATTATATAAATTTTAAACGACTTTTTTGAAAATTGCAGCACTAGTCATGTAATTATTATATATTCTTAAAGAACCTAGGCCTAGAATCGCCTAGAAGTCCCACTAAAACTATGCGCATTCAGAGGACACAGCCGCTGACTGACCGCTGAGAATTTTGCTAAGCGGCTAACCGTTGGTGTGTGTAAAAATTGACCGTTCAGGGAAGTCACTTACTCAGCCACTCAGCCGCTGACCATCCCTGAACGCGCTCATTCTTTCCAAATAATCCCGTCCACCCTTAGAGCCTAGGCATCTCTATCTTTATGTAAACACGAACAAAATATTTTTAAGAAGAACAAAGTCTAGATAAATAAATAAATACCGATAACTATTTTACTGATTTTGAATCCTAAAAAATATTATTAGTACACTAATTATGTAAAAAATCTGTGGGGCACATAAAAATAAATCATTCAACACTACAAATATTAATTACATATTTAAAAAAATTAATAAACTAAAAATGCAGAAAAAATCTTAAAACAGAACAATAGTAAAACGAGTCTTGTATTATACAATTATAAATTTAAATAATTTACAATATAAAAAACTGACCTTGTATATTGCTTACTTAACCATTGATATTAAAAGTTTACATAATTTTATTATATTATACTTAATCATATTCTAAAGCAGAGTATAACATTACAAAGAGAAAGAAATTTTTTCATTCTTATACAAATTAAAAAACATAAATACATTTTAAAAAGTGATATAATAAATAAGAAAGAAAAGTTTAAAAAAACATGATTTGGCAGTCATTGTAGGCATTAAATTATTTCTTAAAAATTATCAAATCAGCTAACAAAAAATCAGCCTTATTTTATAAACTCTGTTTCAAAACAACATAAGTTTAATTATACCATATCAAATTCGGGACAGTTTTGCTTGAATTGATCTGATGCGGTTAACAACGTGATCGCTATTCGCTTTACTGTAAAGATTTGATAATAATGCTGCTACTGTATCTTGGCAAATGGCAGTAATTTTTCGCCTGTAACAAATATAAGCAGTAAATAAAAAGCAATATAAAACTATTTAAAAGATACAATCGAAAAAAATTGCAACCACACCAAAAAGTTTTTTTTGTAAAATCGCATCCAAGACAATTACATTTTTAGTATAAACTGTCAAAGGAAAATGTTTTCTCAGAAATTGATGCAGTCGAACTCGGTTATAACGAACCGGGGATATCTCAAACGCTCGGTTTTAGTGATCAAAATTTCAAGTACCAAATCGCTTTCCATTTAAGCACGTCGTTTTCATGGTTAGATATAACAAACTACTTTATAGCAAACGATTGGCTTTAACGAACGCTTTTAAGGTAAAAATTATTTCTGTAGGAGATGCGAAACCTTGTCGTTGGTGTTTCCCTCTGGCACTTTGGCTGGGTCGAAGGAGCATCTCATTATCTTATCCCTTGCTGTAGCGTCGTGGTCAGGAAACTACACCAAAACGTATATGGGATTATCCTATCCGTCATACCAAGCACCCTCTCTCTGTGGTCATGTCTCACGGGTAAAGGTTGTGGGGGGGTCTTGGATTAACCGCCTGGATCAAAAGGAGACAACCTCACCAAAAAAACTAAATCCTACGATATGGCAGGACCAAGTCAAAGGGATGCGTGGCTGGATAGAACACTAGCCTTTACTGGACTACAGGGACCGAGACAGATCCTCCAACCTCCATCTCACGGGTACCTCAGCCGGAGGCAAGCTCTTCGACTGAGAAGCGGCCAAACCCCAACCGTGGAAGTGTGTATACCCTCGGAGGAAGAATATATGTTGTCACAGGAGAATGGGAAATACCCTATCCCTTGTATAATGGATTATAGACTGTATGATGAGTTATAACTCAAGGAAGGGGAACACAATAGACCTTTAAGGTCGCAGTGATTAACCCCCCCTCCCACTCATTCAACATTCTAAGGTAAAAATTAGCAGATAGATTAGCCCAATCGGTAATATCGAACTACAATGCATTATCTTTCCAGACGGATGGACGCAACGGGCAGTATTATATTGCTACTTGCAGTATTATTACCCCACTAATGGTCGCGACTGGCAAAGTCCTTTGTAGTAAACAGTTACTTTAAAGTTACTTCAGGAATGGGACAAAGAGCTTCGGAAAAAAAGAAGTAAAATTATACTTATTGTGGATCTGTATAGTGCATTATTGTGGAACTGTATAGTGCATCCCTGATTAAAAAATCTTAATTTCTTTTAAACTAATTTTTTTACCTCCTAACGTTCTTTTACAACCGATGGACCAAGGTGTGGTCCGCGTGGGGTGTAAAATTGTACTGTCACAAAATAATTTTAGCACAGCTAATAAGAGCTTTTGAAAATAAAGAAGACTTAATTTACTCTATTGGATACATTAAAAATATTGCATACAATAAATATTACACAATAAACAATCACAAATTATTTTCGTCATGCGGGATTTGAGCCCATCCCATCAACCAAAATAATGATGGAAAACAATGTCAATCTCTTTAAATAAATAAAAAGATAGTAGAGGGAGATGGAGGTTTCTGCGCCAGGAGGAGGGTGACGTCAGGCGTCGCATCATCGTCAGGGCGTGAGCGCTGGGGTGCGGTCGAGGGTGGTGAGATCATAGCGTTGGGCGTGGCACCGGAAAGTGACGTTAGGCGTCAAACCTCAACTGTCAAGTCAGTCAATGTCAAACGTCATCTGTCACCTGTCAAAATTTGTCATCTATGGTTTAAAAATATTGTTTAAAAATTAATAAGCAATGCTACTGGGTAATTTACAAAAATATAATATGGTAAAATTGATAATGACATAAAAAAATACTTTTTTTAAATATATACAGGGTGCTACAAACTCGAGGTACGAGCATTGGTATCTCGGTAACCGTAATAAATACGAACATGGTTAAATTGCGGCAAAGTTCCACTTTAGTATATTCACCAAGATGCCATCAAAAAAGTGGCTCTGGTGCACAATAGGTCCTAACGCATTTAACACTTTTTTGGGATTTTTTTGCAAGATTATCTTAAACTGAATATTTTTAAGCATAAAAATTGTTGGATGAATGTGTTTTATCTTTAAAAAGCGGCAAAAAAACGTATTTTAGGTACAGGCGACGGACAGTAAATATGTTAAATTTTCTACACGGATTCAGTAAAACATCATCATATATAGTACTTTATTACCTTATATAGACGTGGAATGATCTAATTTAAGCACAAAAATGTAACGAATCTTCTTTGTAAGCATAAAAATTAAGAAAATATATTTATTTACATCAGCTCAAGCTAGCAATTTTATGACTTTTTCGATTGACAGTTAATCGATCATCGGTATGTCATCTATGGCCTTCGCATAGAATTTGCGACGTTGTCAATAAAATTACTTTATATGATTTTCTTCTGAAATAAAGTTGTTGCGGAGGGACTTAAAACGGTAAGTTATCACTTTAGTGCAACAAAAATTGAACTGTCTAGTAGCTTATTCGTTAGTGTGGATTATTTTAAAGCAATTTCTGAAATAAAATTTGCGGATTTTTCAGGTTCTACGAAAATATAAATTTTTTAATATATACTGTTTTTCGACGCGTAATCAATGAAGTTTTGTCATTAGGCTCAATTAGGTTAGCCTGGTTATTTGGAAGGTGGTAATGCATTGGTTAGCCTGGTTATTTGGAGGGTGTTAATGCAATGGTTAGCCTGGTTATTTGGAGGGTGGTAATGCATTGGTTAGCCTGGTTATTTGGAGGGTGTTAATGCATTGGTTAGCCTGTTATTTGGGGTGTTAATTCATTGGTTAGCCTGGTTATTTGGAGGGTGGTAATGCATTGGTTAGCATGGTTATTTGGAGGGTGTTAATGCATTGGTTAGCCTGGTTATTTGGGGGTGTTAATGCATTGGTTAGGTTAGGTTAGATAGGCTGGTTATTTGGAGGGTGGTAATGCATTGGTTAGCCTGATTATTTGGAGGGTGTTAATGCATTGGTTAGCCTGGTGATTTGGAGGGTGTTAATGCATTGGTCAGCCTGGTTATTTGGGGGTGTTAATGCATTGGTTAGGTTAGGTTAGATATTCTGGTTATTTGGAGGGTGGTAATGCATTGGTTAGTCTGGTTATTTGGAGGGTGTTAATGCATTGGTTAGCCTGGTTATTTGGGGGTGTTAATGCATTGGTTAGGTTAGGTTGGTGGGGAGTGTTTGGAAGTACGCAGATCACATCGATTTCGGAATCTTACTGAACAAATCCGGGAAAAATATATTTTTAAACAATTGTGCTAAATACTGTGTAATGATTTTATTGTCAATTTATTTTTATAGTGTTTTTGTTTTGCCTCGTTTATTATATTTTTAATTTTTCGTGTTCTTAAAGTGCGTACTAAATGTAAAAAAATGAATATAAAGTAGAACGTTTTCGTCGATTTTACACAGGGTGAGTATGGCAACACTGTGTATAACCTTGTATTTTACGTCTTTATGAAGGTTATAATAGGGAGTTTTCGCATTGAAATGTAGTGAAAATTTGGAATTTTCAATTATTTTTTTTCGTAGAAAAAGTGGTTCATCCAACAATTTTTTTCTTTTAAACCATTCCATTAACTATGGGATCCACATTAAAAATTAAAAAAAACACGATTTCGTGGGGACCTGTTCTGCACAAGACCCCAAAAAAGTTTTAAAAATTTCAAGGATTGCTGAGTTTTTGAAAATAACGGATATTTTTGAAAATTAATTTTAATTTTTCCTATCGTTGCTTTTAAGAAAATCAAAAAACTAATTGCACATTCTCGTAGCCACTTTATTAGAGCTATCTGTTAGTAGCTCTGTTTCTAGCTAAATTTTTCTCTGTTAAAACAGACCAATTTCGACCACCCTGTACACTGAGATGTCAAATTCTCAATAAAAAAAGTTAAAAATTATATCTTTAAATTGCTGACCTGGATATTATTTATTTGAATCTTTCAATTGGCTCCATTTTCCTTATTCAATGTTAATTAGCACTGATCAATATTGTTGCGATGAATATAATCAGATTAAATAATTTAAAAAACCAGAGTCGGACTTGAAATCATTTTAAATAATAATTAAATAGTTATGTTATTGTTGAAGTAACCAAAACAAAAAAAAGTATCACTATGGCACCGAAAAGTGACGTTAGGCGTCAAACCTCAACTGTCAAGTCAGTCAATGTCAAACGTCATCTGTCACCTGTCAAAATTTGTCATCTATGGTTTAAAAATATTGTTTAAAAATTAATTAGCAATGCTACTGGGTAATTTACAAAAATATAATATGGTAAAATTGATAACAACATAAAAAAATACTTTTTTTAAATATATACAGGGTGCTACAAACTCGAGGTAGGAGCATTGGTATCTCGGTAACCGTAATAAATACGAACATGGTTAAATTGCGGCAAAGTTGCACTTTAGTATATTCACCAAGATGCCATCAAAAAAGTTTTAAAAATTTCAAGGATTGCTGAGTTTTTGAAAATAACGGATATTTTTGAAAATTAATTTTAATTTTTCCTATCGTTGCTTTTAGAAAATCAAAAACTAATTGCACATTCTCGTAGCCACTTTATTAGAGCTATCTGTTAGTAGCTGTGTTTCTAGCTAAATTTTTCTCTCTGTTAAAACAGACCAATTTCGACCACCCTGTACACTGAGATGTCAAATTCTCAATAAAAAAGTTAAAAATTATATCTTTAAATTGCTGACCTGGATATTATTTATTTGAATCTTTCAATTGGCTCCATTTTCCTTATTCAATGTTAATTAGCACTGATCAATATTGTTGCGATGAATATAATCAGATTAAATAATTTAAAAAACCAGAGTCGGACTTGAAATCATTTTAAATAATAATTAAATAGTTATGTTATTGTTGAAGTAACCAAAACAAAAAAAAGTATCACTATGGCACCGGAAAGTGACGTTAGGCGTCAAACCTCAACTGTCAAGTCAGTCAATGTCAAACGTCATCTGTCACCTGTCAAAAT